TAAGCCAGACTGAGACAATTTCAAGGCTGAGGAAACCTTTGCAGGTGTTTTGCATTAATTAGCTGACTAGATTGGGACACAGGGAGCCTACAATGTTGAACTTTGTCATGATATTCTAATTTTGTGAAATACTGGATTTGGGTTTTTTTTGTCTTTAATCCATAATCATCAAAATTGAAACAAATAAAGGCTTGAAATATTTCACTTTGTGTGCAGTGAACTAATATAACATACAAGTTTCACTTTTTGAAACAAATTATTGAAATAAATGGACTTTTCCTCGATATTCTAATTTTTTGGCACATACCTGTATATTTACTTTCCTAGGTCTTATTAGGAGAAACTCCCTTGGAGGCAGCAGCAGCAGTCCCCAGGATAAACCCAGCAAAGGGGTCACCTTCTCTGCTGACATAAGTAGAATAGTGAGTGTTCACTGCAAAAACACACCTCATATTACGATTATTCTCCTTGTTTAACAGGAGAAAAAAGTGCTCTGTTCTCAATATTTTTTTCCCATTTGATCTTCCTAGTAAGAACCTCTCAGCCAAGCATGCTGTATATGTGGACTACCTCATGTAATGTGACTGCAGTGGTCAAACCCATCCTGAAGGAGGATCACTTAAATACTTCTCACTGGCAAACCCATCTGAAAACTGCTTCGGCCAGTGGTCATTTACCTCAAATGTATAGAGACGGTCATAAACATACCTGGATTTACCCAGGAACTGTAACATCCGGTGTCACATTTGGTGACTCTGTTGCAGCTGAAGCACAGAAGACCAGCTCATCTGGTTCATGTTAAAAATGACAAGTTTGTTTTTGCGCTCTTGTAAATAATGTCAGACCCAACGGTTCAGAAGTATCCAGCTTCAGTACTCTGCAAAATGTCATGTCTGTTTGTTTAAAGCATTTTGTATTAACGCAGTCAGGTGGGTACAAAGTGCTGCAGAGTTGTGCCTTTTCTGCTGAGCTGACACGTACTGTACTATGACTCCGACCCAGATTAATGATAGTTGCTGTTTTCTTGCTCGTCTGATTCACTGCCGTTAATCAATCTGAGCACAGTAATGTGAACCACAGCAAGGCTCTAATACTTATACTTACAGTTGCCATAACACAGATGACATTTCGGGCAGTCCCACAGATTCTTTACTGCAGTTTGCTAATGTTGTCTCAGCACCTGCTGACTGCACAATAAATACACCCTCATTTAGTCTGGCTCTGATTATTGCCTTCCAGGGGCCGATGGGAGCAGTCTACATGCATTTTACAGTTAGATTTATGGAAACAATGTATTATGTGTTTGTATTATGAAAACAATTGTAGTACATCTTTAATTTCTTTGGTGATTTCGACACCTGGTATGATGATCTATATTTTGTATTTATCCTGGAGAAGTTTTACTCCTGAAATTTTCAGATGTGGCAAAGAATTTTCACATTGTACAGTGGTAGAATAAGCAGGTATCTCAAAACATACAGTTGAAAGTGTTGATGCTTCAGAAAGAAGCAAGAAAGTTATACATCTTTGCATGCAACTTTAGCAAAAAGAATTTCAGAAAAACTAAAAAAGGGGAAGAGATTTGATTTTACATTAGTGCAAACAAAATGACAATTTTCATTTGATTTCTTCATATTGATTAGTTATCTGCCTAGTTTTTAGACTACTGGCTTTCTTGCTGATTGTACATGTGTATATACCAGAATGCACTTATAGATTATGTTGAGTAAATGAAATATTTCAGCAACCTTAATTCTTGTTCAAGCAAAAATCATATTTGTTGCTTGTTCCATAGATCAAGCACCTCATGCACTTTATTTCTGAACCATTTAACACGTTTGTGGATAAAACTGTTTAACTCAAAGAAGAGCCAATATGGTTCCTGTTATTTTTCCACAAGAGAGGCAGAGAATATATTCTGATGTATGTTTGATCACCATATTTGATATGGGATCACAATAATGATGTTGATACACCCTCCTCCAGTTCTGAACCGTTTTAGTAAATTATGTGGTTAAAAAAGACAAGTCCAAGCTGTGAAGCTGTAGCTGTTGCCTTATAAAATATTCACAACACATACTGAATTTTCTGGCAGTTGAATTCCTGTAAGATTCATAATATATTCAAAGTAAATTCTCATTTCAAACTTTTGAATGTAAATATATAAAACCTTATTGCTTCTGAAGCTGCTGTCCTGCCATGCTGAATCTGTGCCTTTGCCTTACAATGTCTTATTTTATATTTTTACTCGAGATCTGGTGGTTAGACTCCATAATACCATATTTTGACAAAAATAAATGCAATTACAAATACCACGGCTCTTTCATCACCTTTACTGCTTCAGTGTCATCTTGTATTTGTAAAAAATAAAATACATTATATTCTTATTTTACATTTCATCAACAATGTTTCAACATCTGTGTGTCATTCAACAGCATGAATGATTGAAACTTTATTATTCCCCTTACACTTCAAGCGCAATACATGATCTGGGCTGGAAACCTGCCAGGTAAGTCACTCTAATCTTGGCCTATGGAGCACTTTGTAAAGTCAGGCTGAGGCCACTGAATTTGTCATTTTCTCATTGTCTAGTTACAAGTCAGCAGTAAAAGCACACCTTTACCATTAACAATCAGGACTAAATGAAGACCAGTGCTGTCTCAACATGAAAAACACAAGCCAGTCAGTCAATAAGAGTCTGTGTCCACACAAGTCCCCTCTCAGTTGAGTGCAAGGCAGATGCACGGCACACGCATCTCAGTTGGCACTAGTCTTGGGTCCCCGCATTCTTTCAAGCTTGGCCTCCTCATCTATTTCATCCATGATCCGCTCCTGGGACACGGAGTAAAATGTGTAGCCGTCTAATCGGCGAGCAGTAGGTCAAGGCAAATAAGTGGATGGAAGAAGCACAATTATCAGAAAGTAGAAAGCAGCATCGTGTCTACTATGACCAGCGGAAGTTGAAAAAACAATAATCTGTGTTAATGGCTTAATATTTATATCTGTTTTGCCGAAACAGGTTCTACCACCTTAAAATTACAACTTATTATGGCCCACCGTTGACTTAGCAAGTGTCTTCGTATCATGAGTATTTGCTGATGCTTTCACGCTACTATGCCCGACACAACGGGAAGGCATCGGGCGGATAATGCTTAGTATTATTTAATGAATAATCTACATACTTTAATAACGTTAGACATTTGTGCCTAACTCATATGCAGCTATCTGCATAACCCTTCTCTCATAGTTAGCATTTAATGAACACGGTTATCAGAGTCAAACTCAGGAAAAACAGAGTAGCTTTAGTGTGCTAAGCTAACGTTAGCTACATAGTTAACCTTGGGGTGCGTAGGATACAGATTCCCAGAACCACCGCTCCGATGGCAAGTCCTGTCACGACATTTCGTCCTCTCATCTTCCGTGTTTTTTTCTTCCACTGTTCCAGCTCCATTTGCTTGATGAATTGCATCTGTGTTGGAGAAAGACCCTCTTTAATCGGGTCTATCCTGGCTGCAAAGGGGGCATCGGAGCCCTTCGGTGTCTTGTCAGCCATTTCTACCGTCAGACGTTTCACAATGCTTACACGCAGACCTGTATTTCATATGATCTGCTGAGTAGACACCGTTTAACTGCGCCGTGAGTATCAGTATGTTGTCAGATCTGCACTGGGTAGAATGAGCGCCACCATTTGTGCAACATCCAAATGAGCCCCCTCGGAAGTATTTGGTTCCTACCTTAGCGGCTTTGGGGTAGAAAGCGCGGGAACAGCCCCATCTTTCGGACAACATAGGCCTCAAACGCAATTTAATTAGATTGAATTGTTCCAATCCACACGTTCCTAAATATAAACGTAGGTATTTGTAGTTAAGGGTATCTAATTATTTGTGCTTACATAAGGCAAACGTTAGTCATTGTGAATGGCAAAAAGATTTCGCAGCCAAGACCAAAGTATACGTTTTAACGTAAAATTTGGAGAAGCCTCTTCTGACTTGCTCACAGGATTTCTTGTTAATGTCAACAAAAGAAACAAAGATAAACTTAACAGTTTAGCAAAATGTAGCGGAAGCTTCCGAGATAAAAGACTGATGGGTAAGTAGTGCCAACTACACCGAGCTAGCGTTAGTTTGAATTTTTATGGAGTTTTTAATTTTCTTATATCACACACGGATGTTACAATTAGTAGCTAGAAAAACACCTCCTCGTTGTATTTTAATCAATGATTTTACACTGGTTTTGACAGTGAATCAATCTACAGTGCTTCAGATGTTTCAGCTATGTGATAAATGTACACTGTACTCCTCTGCTGTTTACATTTACTGAGTATGTTGTTATCAGCAGACATCTAGCACTGTAACCTATGTGTTTTCATGCTGTAATTCTTTCACTTGTGGTGCAGGTTTTCCTATTTTGCAGTAAGTTAAATAATTTTTCAGCAGGTGAGAGTGACTCAGCTGTACAACATTATCTCTGAAAGGCCCACTAAGCCTCACTGTACCCTGTCATCACTGAAGTCTTTCACACACCTGGGATTGTCAGCCCTGTCATGGAGGCCAAATCGCTGTACTACCTGCCAGCACTGTCACTGCAGAGGAGCAGATGGAAAGCAGTGTTAATGACTTCTAATGAACATCCATATGCTTCCTTTAGTAACAGCTAAAATACAATTTCTTTAAATACATTCATGGGGATATCTCTGTTAAAAGTTATGTTTTTCTCTTGAACCTGCTTCTGCTGGTGTCACTGCTGGCTTAAGTAAGCTGCCATTCTCACAGTAACTTCCAAATAAATAGGCTACTTTAGTGTCTTTCAAACTGAGTGGTCAGTCATTATACTTTTCTATTTGCCAGTTTTTGCTGGTGGGTGGTGTTAAGAACCCAGTATGACTGTGATTCAGGGTTACATGGTTTACTTGCACAGCTCATAGCTGCCATTTCACACAAATCAAGCATGAAGAAAAGAGAGCCATAATTTTTAAATAATTTTAAATTTCTATTATTTACCCTTAATGATTCCAATATTTGCCAGCATGGTGGTGCAGTGGTTAGCGCTGTCACCTCACAGCAAGAAGGTTCCGGATTTGAGCCCCAGTCAACCCGGTGCCTTTATGTGTGGAGTTTGCATGTTCTCCCTGTGCCTTCCGTGGGTTCTCTCTGGGTTCTCCGGCTTCCTCCCACAGTCCAAAGACATGCAGCTTAGGTTGACTGGTGACTCTAAATCACCTGTGAGTGTGGTTTGTCTCTAAGTGCCAGCTCTGTGATAAACTGGCGACCTGTACATGATGCAAGATATTTATACTTATTAATTTCCAGTATTTTCACTTAGCATTGCTACAAAAGCTCATAAATGAGAGTGAGTAATCTGTAATACCTGGGGAGTTTTGGTACAGATTTCTTTTCAAAGTCCAGACCTGAATCCCATTGAGATGCTGTGGGGTGACTTGAAAAGGGCTGTACATGCAAGAAACCCCTCAAACATCTCACAGCTGAAACAATTCTGCATTGAGGAGTGGGATAAAATTCCCTCAGACCGATGTCAGAGACTATTAGATGGCTACAAGAACCGTCTCACTGCAGTTATTTCAGCCAAAGGAGGTAACACTAGCTATTAGGGGCTAGGGTGTGCTAACTTTTTCCTCAGTTGGAATAGGCATTTTTGTAGAATTACATTTACAGAAGATCTTGAAAAGACTTTTCTTCAGTTTTACTTGTTTAGTTGTATTACTTTAATCTCTCTGTATTGTTAAAATTGAGATTAAATAACCATATATTAAAACATGTTACAAAATACACATGCTTTCAAAGGGTGTGCTAATTTTTTCACATGACTGTACATGAGATCTCCCCCATATCACTTTACACAGGTTCACCCAGACACAATCGCTGCCTCCATTTTACTGTATACATGATATTCCTTTCTGCAAATGTATTTTGTGGACTCTGATTGTGGTCTGTCAGCTCTGTTCCAACAAGTTGAGCTCATGCCTTCTCTCACAAAAAGATTTTTCTCTTTTCTTTTCTGCTTTTACTAATGCCCTGCATCCATCTCCGGTGTTTCTTTAGAGTACATCTTCCTGATGACTAAAGAACTGAGACTTGAGCCACTGGCTGGATACCATGCCATTGAATTACTTCAGAGGTAAGAAGGAGCAGCATGTTTACACTTCCCTATTGGTTCAGCCATGCCTTTATATGAATAATGATCTACCCAGGTTCATGGTCAGGCACCTTACGCATTTGCTCACCACACCCACAACCCAAGGTGTGGCTGCTGCTCAGCCAAGAAGTTATGAGGATGTGATTTTTGACAAAATCAAGGAGAAATTCCCCCTCATTGTCTTCTCCTGTGTTCAAATTGCAAGCAAACTGTCTTTGCACAGTCATGTAAGTTTTGAAGCATCCACCATTGATAACCTTTGATACACTATGAATAAAAATAAGGTAATCTGCTGTAATTTTAAAAAATATATTTTTTAGGTAATCGACAACAATACTGCTGTGCGCTTTCTGCGTTCAGTTGGCCATAGTGTTTCCAAGCAGACTCTCTTGGAATCAGAGCTGATGATCTTGAAAGGACTTGAATTCAGACTGAACGTCCCAAATCCTTTGACATATGTGGAAATACTTCTGGAGGTGCTTGGTAAGATATCATAAACACAGAGCATCTTGGGTCAAGTGTTAAGATGTAAATGAATGTGGGCAATATTATTGGAAAGGACTTTGTGAAGATAAACATGTCTATGTACACTCTGTACTGACCTGTGGTGACTTATCGTTTGTAGGACACAACGAGTCATCCATCCCTGTGGAGTGCCTGTATGATCTGTGCCACCATGTTCTCCAGTTTGTGAGCCTACAGAGGACTTCCATCTATGACACCTTGTTAAACGTGACCACTCAGTGTGTCAGTCCATCCAGTGAACAGAGGTATTGCATCTTTAAGCCACATGACAAACTGTTTGAGTGTCAGTTGAGAACTTCCTGTGTTGTTGTTGTATTATGTTATATTACCCAAGAGCTATTTAGTTATGACCAAGTTGGGCCTGATACCGTTGATGAGTTTAGTTATTAAACCTGCAGTGACAGTTTTTTTGGCCATTTGGGGGCAGCTGAAGCATGCTGCTAATACTACACTGACATATCAGCATTGACCTTTTAGCTATTGTAACAGTTGCCTGTTTACACATTCAGCTGACATCGAACAATATTAACATTCATCATTGTGTTTTGGCTCACCTGGCAAATGTACTAAGTCCAATATTTGCTCTTTTTTTTTTAGCTTTGTTTTGGTTTCCACCAACTCCTGTGAAAGATATCCTGCTGTTTAGTTTCTAAATGCTCCATTGTGCACACCAGCTAGTTGCCAACTTTGTTTGTTTCCTGGTAGTGGCAGTGTGCAGTGGATTTTTAGGGCCCTTTTATTCTAAAGCAACAAAACAAAGTTGCAGGCTATAAAATCAAGGCAAAGGTCAGAGTTAAAAGCAGATTTAAGGTGTGTTAGGTCTGTCATTGGGGCTAGTAGATTTATGACTGCATGGCCAGCACCAATTGCGGGGCCCAGTCAAAACATAATTTATCCTGAATACTGGACTTCCATAATAATGCTCACCTAACATTTGGAGCATTTAACTGTGCATTGTTACCTGTTGGGCTGAAAGATGTAAAACTCTTTGGAAATGAGGAGGACTGCAGAGTCGATTGATAATTCTCACTACAAACGTTTATATTGCACACAGTGGTTTGAGCCATTGTTAAAATAAGATATTGATTATAGTTGGTTTAATGCTGCATTGCCCTTTGTTTAAACCAGAGAGAAGTTTGTGACAGTGATTGAAGACTGCATGCTTCTTGGTGTTGGTGTCATCGCTGTGGCTACATTTATCCACTGTGTCAGAAAATGGGAACAGGTGAAAAACTGGTGGTTTATATAAGTATGGGCACTATATTTTAATTACACCTAGTACTTATTCTTACCCTTTCTCTTTTCATGCATTGCAGGTTGTGGCTGAACTGAGCCACATCACAGGGATCTCAACAAGGAGTATTAGTGATTTTGCTCATGTGACACTGATGCATATTGTTAGAAGAAGTTCCTCTTTAACATCACTTTGAGTCTAAATATCACTCACCCACTGAACACGGCTTTATTCTCGCATGTTTATGGCAGAGATATAGATGCAGAACATGAGGTATGTGCCTAAGTAAAGTATTTGGCATAGGAAAAGTGGACTTTATTGTAATGAAATATTTCCAGAAAGGAAAAAAAACCCACTGTAGAGTGATTGCAGTTTTAGTAGAGTCTGTTTCTATGAATATTTTACACTAAATTAATACTGATTTTGCAATTGTGAAAAAATGCTTAAAATGTTGACCAGTCAGTATAATTGATCTGTTAGAGCCTTATTTTAGCGGATAATTTCAGGTTTAGCTTGGTGAAGAAACTTTCCTTGGAAAGGTGATTAAATGTCTCCTTATATATGTGTCCTCTGAGGAGGCATCCTCCTCCTCTTTAGATATACTGGGCAGCATATTAAATGTGGGAAGGTGTGGAACAGTGGTGGCACCTCCCAGGAAGTCATCCACTGGAGGGACACTCAGAGTCTAACATTTCCTCATTGTTTGTTTTGTTGAAAAGGTGCTTCATGTTGCTCTTGCTCTTCAGGATGTCTTGTCTTTGTGTTTGTTTGCTTGCTCCCCTACGGGTGTATCAGTTTAACACACTGTTTAACTAACTTACTTCTGCTACTGTATGTTTTATGAGAGCAATTTTTGCTATTGTTTAAATTTTTTTTTTTTTAGTATGTCTTTTTACTTGTATTAAAAACACAAAACAAATAATACCATAGGTATGCAATGGTGGAAAAAGTAGTCAAATATTTTGCTTCAGTAATCTACCACTTTCTGCTAAGGCACCATTTATGAAGGGTTATAAGCTATAGGCTCAGTTTAATGTTGCAACTGTTAAAGTTGGAGCTGATGTTATTTCCTGATGAGTTTTTCTTTTGGGGATCAATTAAATCCTAAGTTAACAATATATTGTTATCTACTTGTTAATTGTGTTTGGTCTGAATCTGCAAAGTACTGAAGTTGTCAGTTATAGTGGAGTGCAAAATACATCTGAGTATAAAATAGAATATGGAAGTACTCGAGTAAAGTACAAGTAGCTCAAAATTGTACAGTATCTGGGTACACACTTCGTTAGGTTACTTTCCACCATTGTTTCCCATTTTACATGTTGGATGTGGCATGATCTAATATAATGGGTTAGTGCTTCATCCATCCATCCATCCATCCATTTTTTTCCGCTTATCCGGGACCGGGTCGCGGGGGCAGCAGTCTAAGCAAAGATGCCCAGACTTCCCTCTCTCCAGACACTTCCTCCAGCTCCTCCGGGGGAATGCTGAGGTGTTCCCAGGCCAGCTAAGAGACATAGTCCCTCCAGCGTGTCCTGGGTCTTCCCCGGGGCCTCCTCCCAGTGGGACATGCCCGGAACACATCCCTAGGAAGGCGCCCAGGAGGCATCCGAAACAGATGCCCGAGCCACCTCAGCTGGCTCCTCTC